GAGCGTAGTTATACTAATACTTAAGGTTCTGTTTTATTCCTTGTTCTCATTATGTCTTTGAATAATTTTTGTATTTTATGTGTGTAATATTATATATTTGCTTGCCCCCCGTATGTAATACCCTCATACAGAGGGCCTTTAGGGGTATTTTGAATAAAAATCCAGTTCCAACCTTGCAGGTCACAAAACGGTAACTTAATTTTCCTAGTAGCCCACTCTAAGGGGATATCAAAAACTTTTGATACATTGTTGCCTAATTTTTATTTATTTAGAAAAAATACTGAAATTGAGCGACTCAAGAACATCACACTCCAATTATGGCAATAAACCAGGGGTGGCCAAACTGCGGATCGCGAGCCACATGGCACTCTTCGCGGGTCAAAGTTGAAAAAAAAGAAAAGAAGTAGAGGTGAGTTCTGGCGTATTTTATCCCGTGAATCTGCAAATCACGTTCGTTTTCCCCGAAGATGTAACTAAACGCGAGAAAACACAAAAAACCTCCGACCAGTCATGACGTCATACTAGGATCTTTAAACTGGCCAAGCACGTGTCGCTCGTGTGGGCAGCGTGTGCAATCGCAGGCTTGCCAGGTATATTTTTCCGCACTGACACAAGTCGGAACGTCTATTTCTGACCTTTTTGAAAATAGCAAGAGTGCGCGTGCATAGCTTTGACAGGTGCGCTTGCAGATGCGCGAGAGCGGTGATTCCGAAAACCCCTAGTATGACGTCACGCCCCGGGGAGGGGCTGCAGCGGTACTTCAAAAATTATTTTCTGTAGCCTCCGTGCACCAAATCGAAAAATAATGTCGACAATCGTGATCCCGGAGGCCAAATGAAGACGATTTAGGTGTTTTCCTTAAATGCATAACCACTTCAGTTTCCCTTTAAAATAAGCTCACACTCTACTACACTGCCTACATACAGCTGAACTGCTTTTTGACACAGATGTTTCCAGTGACCTTGTTTCCTTTATTGTTCTAGAAAAATATTTCGAGCAGTATACTCATAACAGCCATCAGGGTCAGTGGCTAGCTAGCAAACCATGCATTTATTTTTGTTCAGCGGTTGAAGAAACATTTTGCAGCCTCGTGTTATTTGTTGTAGTCGACAGTTATGCTTGTCCCCTTTGGAAACCACTGCTCACTCCACATCGTTTTTCGTTAAAAGAAGCCCCCCCCCCCCTTTTTTTCCCGTTATGGTTCTCCAAACATTCATAGTTTTTTTCTGCATAATTCTATCTCACTTTGGCCACCAGTGCAATCGATCAAACAATGAGTGTGCTGTCTAAATTACATAAAGAAGTCAAAAGTAGCAATGCCACATCAGAAACGATGGCAGAAGTATGCAACTAAAAGACAATGAGGCAAACCTTCCAGTTAAGGTGAAAAATTGCTAATGAAAACAAACTTTCATTGTGTTGCTGGGAAACAGCTTGGTATACGAGTAAATTGATGCAATCAGGTAGATATCCGCTCCATGAGTGCAATAATTAGCAAATAAATTAACATACTTTTTTATTTTTTGGTTTACCTCCCATTGAGTGTACTTTTAGCACACAATTATGACTGGTTCTAAAAATCTAGGACCACTCATACTTGTTGCAGAGCTGAGGAAACAGAACAATGCCATCTATGTCCAAACACATGCATGGGTTAACACGCCCACAGAGCTTGTGCAATACCTTAGTGGGCCGCTTGTGGGCAAGCTTGAGGTGTCCCACTCTTCAAAATCAGATACGTCGTAGACATTTGAAACGATGTACGCGTTTTGGCTTCCACCCTCGTCTCTTGCAGAAAGAATATGTTCAACTGTGACGTTATTATCTCCCAAATTCAGAGCCGTCGAGTCCCACTTTGTTGGAGCTCAGTATTGTGTGCTGTGAAACGAGTGCCCAGCAACACGTGCACGGTCCAACTCCACAAGGTCCTGTGCAACTTCCAAGGTCAGCTCCTCCTCAACAAGTCTATGCAGATATTGCGGCAGCTGCCTGGACTTTCCAAGGTACACGTCCCCTGGCTTGTCGTGTCTCCTCGTCGGAAGATGTGCTTGGACCTCGTTCGAAACCATATTCCTCAGCTCATAAAAGCTGTTGTGGAGGAAAATGCGGCACAAGATCTGGAAGGGCACACCATTCGACGAGGAAACAAGCTTCAACACATGCCGCACGTTCGACTCAAACTGGAAGCAAGGTAGCATCCATAGCGGCCCATGGAGAGCACAGCTCTTGAAAGATATGCATGAGCGTGTGCACGTTTGAGGTCATGTGTGCTTTTCCGTAGAGCAGTAGTTCTCAAACGGGAGTCCGCGAAGGCATTCTAGGGACCTGCAAAGATCTGCCTCATCAGCTAAGCACGGCAATAAAAGTCGGCCTTTTTCTCAGATCGAGAAGAAATTTGTTTCAATTTTCGGGCTAGGTTTTTTTTGTGTATGTTAATAGGAGAAGTCTAATTCACACCAGCCCTTAGTAATATCCATTTTTGATATCATTATTATGTTTAACCTATACCTTTTTTCTCCCCTCACCACAAACGAGGTCCTCCATCATTTCCGCCGATCCACAAGGATTCCGCGAAACATCAATGGTCGAGAACCCCTGCCGTAGAGGAACTAAGCCTGCACGACAAACTTAGTCATCTTCTCTGTGCTCAGCTCGACATCTTCATCTAGACTAGAGCTTCCATCTTAGTTCGAAGATAAAAAAGCATTTACGAAGAGTTCTAAGCGCTCATACTATTGAGCTTACAGTATTTCCTTCAAACAAGGAAGGCAGTAATAGAACAGCCAGCATTGCATGCAGCTGCTTTCCAGTACTTCCTCAGCTTCAGGGCTCCCGGCTGTCGGTTGAAGCATTGTGGCGGCTTCAGGCTACACAATCGCTCGATTACAATGGATTGCCGCGAAAGGTGTCCAATGTAGTCATCCTCGCCTACACCGGAAAATCACAATTTGGCAAACTGACGCCATCCTCCGAGAAGGGCCCAGTGCATATAGTATGAGTCAAAACCCCAGACTATATCAAAACCAGTCAGGTTCAAGAGTACCGAAGGCCCCTTGCCACCGCGGACTGCTTGCTTGGTTGATGCAGCTTCTGCAATGTTCACAGCTCTTGTGAATGTCCACTAAGCACAATTTCGTGTTCAGGAAACCACCATGTAATGTCTATGGTCAGAACAAAAAATATAAGCGGCCACTATTTCGTGGGTGCCTCTTCACGCGGTGGTTGATTCCCCGACTCACAGATATATGTCTGCCTGGCTAAGGATAATCATCGTCACTAATTGTATTTATCACGGTAGATTTGTTTTTTTTTTCTTGAATAAACTTGGAGTTAGCAGTATTTTTTTTCACACCTGCACCGCTCATACTTCCTCACGAACGCGTGATGTTAAAGCACGCGATGCACACGCCTGTTTCTAGAAAAAAAAACAGAAAACCCCTAGACAGGATTTATGCCACAATGACTCTTGAATCTTCCCCAATGAACATCGCCTGCTGAAAATGAGTTCGAGACCAGCTCACTATGGCGGGGATACGGCCCGTTCGTCACATGCCGATTCGTCATAGGGCAACTGGTAATAGGCCCATTCGTCACAGCGGAACATTCGCCACAGGATAATTCGTAACTCGGGCCACCTGTCACACAGTAACCCAAAATTTGTCATATGGTTCTTCCGTGCCAAACCCGTACAAGGTCACCAAGGTCGATCGCGGGCGAAGATTCTGTAACAGGTGCTGCAGTTCCGGGTATCAAACCGAAGGTCCGACATTCGGAACGAAACTAGAAGTAGTAAAAAACAAAGAAACCTCGCAAAGAACCTAAGCCATATATAGAAAGAAAGAAAAAATTAACAAAAAGAGTTTGTCTAAGAGTATCGCCAGGTCGTCATTGTTTGCTTTGTTGTTGTACGCGCGTCACCCGATTCGCCCAGATTCAGGAATTTTCTAGCTGCTTTTCTTTTTTCGGATGGCGGATGTACCAGGGTATAAAAGAAACGTCATTTTTGCATGGGAACTTACTCTCGCTTTTGAAATGGAGTTGATCACAACAGAGAGGGGTGGCGCTATGCTCCTCCACGACGGACATTCTTACACTCGTATTAACCCTTTGTTGGACACTGGGACATATGTGTCCCACTTATCGTTCCCACCTAAAGTGGGCCTCAACCATGCCGTGGGATGTTTTCCCACTTCTTCGTGTGGCTCCCTCTATAAAGAGTCAGGGAAACTTGAGTACAATTTCATCTCTATACCAAGAGGGGGCAGCACTTGTTTTTGCGACAGTCAGTGAAATTTCTGGTTGTGGCGTTAGGCGAGTGCAGAGGGGACGAGGATGAGGACGAGGTGCCATTGCCTGCTCCCTCCACAAGCAAGTGCAAGCAAAAGCCATGCAAGTCCTACACGGGAAAGAGGAAAAAGCAAAAAAGAAGCGAGAGGACTGAGCCAGACCCTGAAGACGACGATACAGCAGGCGATCAGTGGAATACGTCACCTATCGTTCCTCCCGCTACCAGCAATTTGGGACCTACTTGCTCCCAGCGGCTCAGCGAGCAAAGCACAGCGCTGGATGCCTTTAGACTGTACTTCGATGATGAAGTTATGCATCACATTGTGGAGCTGCCCAATCTCTATGCGGAGCAAACGAATCGAAGACGGTGGACGCCTCTGACACTCGACGAGCTTCGAGTGTACATTGGACTACTTATGCTTATGAGTGTCAATTCTATGCACCAGTTGCACATGTATTGGAACTCAGATAGCCTCTTTTGCACAGAAGAGATCACGTGGGTGATGACATACAAATGTTTTCAGATGACAATGAACTGCCTTCACCTGAATGATAACGCCAAGATACCAGAGCATGGAACGAACGATTTTGATCGTGCCTACAAAGTGTGCCCTCTCATCAAGATGATGAATGAAAAGTTCCACTCAGAGCACAGCCCGTCCAGTCATCTTGCTGTGGATGAAAGAATGATCTTATTCAAAGGACGGTCAAGCATGAAGCAATACATGCCCATGAAACCAAAAATAAAGAGGATTCAAGATGTGGTCATTGGCAGACTCCCATACAGGGTACCTTCTCAAGTTTCAACTGTACGAGTGCAAGAACGCCGAGTAGCCACGTGACAGAACTTTGGGGAAACATGTCGTTCTATCACTTGCCGGCGGAGCCATTCCAGTCAGTTCGCAGTTGTTTTTTGAAAACGTTTTTACGTCAACAAAACTGCTTCAGGAACTTTGCAACAGGGACATTCTTGCCTGTGGAACATTCCGCACAAACAAGGACCTTCCGTTTGAGTTCAAGGTCGACAACAAACTCGAAAGGGGCTCCTACCTTTGGCGAAGAAAAGGGGACATTGTCGGATACCAATGGAGGGACTCAAAAAACGTGCACATCATGTCAAACTACCATGATCCTGAGAGCCAACTCGAAGTCCAGCGAACACTGCCAAATGGCAAAAAGAAGGCAGTGGAGTGCCCCACAGTAGTAAAAGATTATAACAACTGGATGGGCGGAGTTGATAAATTCGACCAGAAACGCAACACATATGTCGCAGACCGTCACTCGAAACGCTGGTGGACTAGGATTTTTTACTTCATTCTGAATGCTGCTGTCGTCACCGCTTTCATTCAGATCAGCTGTTTGGAGCCAGTCGTGTGCCTGCACTTCACGCTGAAGCTTGGACACCAGCTGATCGCGCAAACAGCTTCCGGAAATGAAGGACAAGCCTAGTCACCCACCACAACAAACGGGGCAAGAAGAATGGCCATGGGATGACCGGTGTGCCTGAGGAGCTCCGGTTCACTGGTAATGCACATCACCCCATCTTGACAGAAACGCATCGGAGGTGCCGCTGGTGCTCGACAAAAGCCAAAGAGGCTCGCACTAAGTACATGTGCAGTGTGGGCAAAGCTCCCCTCTGTGCAGTGTGTTTTGGACCCTTCCATAGTCAGTGGTGAGGAAGTGAGCTGTGGGATGCCCCTGTCCCACTTTGTCAAAGTGACCTAAGCGGCTCATGGGACATATAGGTCACACTTTTTTCTCAGCTGTGAAATGTCTGCTTCAATGTTTCTTTTTTTGTAAATAAAATAGATCCAGAAGGACACTGGAAATGTCAAAAATCATGTGCAATGTTGTATCTTCTCACGTCCAACAAAGGGTTAAGTCTAACGAATCGACGCTCTACTGGGCTTGCCGGCAAAGGACACTTTGTAAAACTAAATTTGTAACTGACCTAGCCATTACTCGTATACTATCTTACTCGAGCGACCACACGCACGCCGGTGACCCAACCGAGCTAAGTGTTCTCAGAGTACGTCATGAGATGAAGCTAAGAGCAGGTAAGTTGCGAAACGTTGTTTTTATATTCCCAGTTTTGCATAACAAGAACCAAATTTTATATGTGCTTTTTGCTTGCAGTGGAAGGACGCCTAGCACCGCACCAGATACTTTTGGATGCAGCCTCCTCCGTAACGGACGACACTGCCTTGCAGATTCCTGCTGCACCCACACTACGGCGCACGATTCGGAAACAGAGGCAGCGCGCAAATTTCGTGTACAGTGTACCATCCTGCAGGGCAGACATTCGAATGCCCGCAGAGTTTAAGGTAAAGTGCTCTCTTGCGTTATGTATTTGATTTCGTAATAACTGTTCCAACTTCATGCAGGTCACAGCCAAAGGAGATTCGTTTCTCCTGCACGACAGCGGCGACGGCGACAGCGAGAGACTTCTCATCTTTGCAACTGAGCGCAACCTGAGCTATTTGGCCCGGACCTGGTTCGCAGACAGAACCTTCAAGGTCACCCCTGAGCAGTTCTACCAGCTCTACACTGTGCATGCAGTCGTCAACGGTGTAGTAGTGCCCATGGTTTACGGCTTGCTGCCCAACAAATCCGAAACCACCTACAGAAGGTAAGCACTAAAAGTTACAAAAACGGATCCCTCGGTGTGCCATCATTGTGATTTTGTCTACATAATTGTTTCTTTTATTTGTAATACTGACTACACAGAATTGTTATTATTATTCTCGTTCAAGGCTCTTCGATGTGCTGCTGAGCCACGTTGGGACCCACTGCGTTGAGGTGGTCTACACTGACTTCGAGATCGCTGCCATCAACGCCATAAAAGCCATGGCCCCTAGCGCAAGGATTCAGGGATGCTTCTTCCATTTATCCCAGTCGGTATACAGGAAGGTGTGCTCTAGCGGTCTTCAGAGTCGATACAATGCGGATGAAGAGTTTGCTGTTAACCCTCTTTCGTTTATTGTATCTCCGGGGATACAGACTTAAAACGCACAAATAAAAATCACTGTAAATATATACTCCCTCAAATGGGCAATGTATCTCATGGGACACATCCTCCGCGGCGGCCGAGACACCTAGCGCCACCTCCCGGAGCCTACAGCAAGTGTTTCTTCGTGAGTGACAGAACATGGCGTCGACCAGTGCTGGCGTCCACGTGTCCACGGCAAGTGCTACTTTGTACTCTAAACGTTGAAACGGTAATCAAAATCTAACATTGCGATTTTAAACAAAAGTGTGCAAACACTTTGGTGATGTATTTTTAATCGAATACCCCGATCCAATTATGCAAAGCAGGGTGATAATCCGTGTGTATCTCACAGGATACACTGCACGTTTGGGGTATTCGTTCCACTGTTTTGTATACGTTTTTCCAATGTTTTTTTTTTTATTTTTGTTTTGTGCAGGAGCTAATTGCAAGGACATTTTATGGCTCACAATTGAGAAAGAGAGCCACAGTGATCCCTCCTGAAGGTGGAATATCCGACGTCGACTCATCAAGCGATGATGAAACGGACACGAACAATGATGACACCAGCTTCAAGGCAAGGAGTAGAAGCTTGGAAGTAGAAGAATCCCTCTCGGAAAACGAAGCCGAATTGCCAAAGAACGCCGCCTCGTCGAAACAAGGTGACAAGTACAAATGGAGAAAGACAAGTTTCGACCACGACTTCCGAGCTCCAGAACCGCAGTTTGAGCTTGCACCGGAAGATCTCACTCCACTGCAGTATTTTCAGATGTATTTTGGCGATGAGTTCATTGAGAAGGTGGTTTACGAGACAAATCTGTATTCCACTCAACAGACCGGATGCTCAATCAACACGAACGTTGCACAGTTAAGGTCCTTCATCGGAATTCTTCTTATGATGGGCGTCGTCGGGATGCCTTCGTTTGAAGACTACTGGGCCAATCAAACAAGATGTGACAAGATCGCCAATGTGATGCCTGTAAAACGGGTCAAGAAGCTCCGAAGGTTCATCCATTTTATTGATAACCTCCAGCCAGTTGAAACTGACTGAGCCTACAAGATAAAACCTGTGCTTGAGCACATTCGGAGCAAATGCAAGGCCACAGAGAGCGAAAATCTCTTCTCTTTTGATGAGATGATGATCCCGTACAAGGGTAAAAAGGCGGGGAACCTGAGGCAGTACCTCCCCAAAAAACCTAAAAAGTGGGGCTTCAAACTGTTTGCACGTGCGGGTGTTTCTGGGATGGTTCATGACTTCATTCTGTACACCGGCGCAACAACATTCGAAGGTATCAGACTTGCAGAAGAGGAAGAGGCGCTTGGTCTCGGCGCAAAGGTTGTGCTGCACTTGTGCGAGAGCATTTCTCGTCCAAATGAGAGCATCGTCTACTTTGATAATTTCTTAACCTCGCTGGAACTGATCTCACGACTAAAAGAAAGGTATTCTTTGCACAGTCTCGGCACCATTCGAAGCAACAGGCTTCGAGGCTGCTCCCTAAAGGATGACAAGTCACTGCTGAAGGAGGGAAGAGGCAGCTTTGACTACAAAGTGGACAATGTGGCAGGACTTGCAGTCGTGAAATGGGCTGGCAACAAGACTGTAATAGTTGCAAGCTCTTGTGTCTCACAAGACCCAGTGGAAACAGCGAACAGGTTTGACAAGAAGGAGCGTCAAAAGATTCCAGTTTCTTGCCCACAAATTGTGAAACAGTACAACATTCACATGGGCGGTGTTGACCTTGCAGACATGTACGCAGCGCTTTATCGCACCCCATTCCGCACAAAGCGATGGTACTTAGGCACCTTCAGCCAGCTTCTCGACATATCCGTGAACAACGCTTGGCTACTACACCGACGACAGTCAAACCTCACTGGCGTGAAGGCAATGCGACTGAAACAATTTCGACTAGCTGTTTCAGAAGCTTTGATGCATGCAAGCCCCCCGAAAAGAGGGAGACCTTCTTCCACCCTCGATGAAGAACCTGCGGCGCAGCGCCCAAGAATGCAGACCACGGCAGCACCTGTCACCGATGTCCGCTACGACGGTGTGGGTCACCTACCAACACTGGAAGGCAAAGGTCGCTGCAGGTACTGCCCAAGCGGCCAGACATCAATTGCCTGTGAAAAGTGCAAAGTTAGGCTTTGCATAGTGACGGGAAAGTCCCCAAGAAACTGCTTCAGGTTGTACCACAAGAAGTAATTATTGTTTCAAATATTCAACATTTTGCTATCCCCTAACGGGCAGTGTGCACTGGGAGATACATGTCCTATCTCTTAAATGTGAAATAAAATGCCACAAAAAATAATGTTTTGGTGCTTGAATTGGTTCCTTAAGGAAATACTGATTGTGATATAATTTTAGTTCCATTTTTGAATGACTGCCCGAATAAGGGTTAAGGTATGCAAAATTATTTTGTTCTTTTTTTTTTTGTTCTTTTTAATATATAAACTGTGTTTCAGACCAAAAAAAATTACTTCCTGTGCACTTTCAGATGAGAATGCTGCCTGCATTGGCCTTCTTGCCAATTTCCGACTTCCCAGAGGCATTCCAGGACTTGGTCGAGGTTTTCCCCTCGGAGGCTGCACACGTGGCCGACTACTTTGAAGATGTCTACAGCGGCAGGCCCCGTCGGAACGGCTTGTCTACTGCCATCTTCCTTCCGACAGTTTGGTCAGTGAGGGAATCGACATTGGCGGAAATGCCAAGAACAAATAACAGCATCGAGGCTTGGCACCGAGGACTGCAGGTATTAATCGAATATCTCTTAAGTTGCTTGTAGCAACAAATGCGAAATACATTATTTCGTTGGATGGGCGGTGCAGTTGGTGTTTCGACGTAAAATAACTAAACCTTTCTAAGTACCGATTGGGGGCGCAAACTTAAAATATATTGTCACGAAATTAAAAAAAAAAAATTCAAATTCCTTATCATCACCACTGCTCGGGAATGAAGAGAGAGAGGGAGAGAGAAAGAGATGAATCGAGGGGGGGGCCTCCGGGATTTCTCCAAAATATGATGACTGCATACATGACCGCGTTTTATGTCTTCCATCACCCATATGTTGTTCTACGTAAATATATGCTTCATAGTAAAGCTGTGCTCGTGCTTTCTGCGGTTAGTTGCGTACTCAGTGAGACTATACAGTAATAACAGTTTGCGCGTGTTTTTCTTTTTCTTTCTTTAAGAGCAATGTGGGCTGCAGGTCCCCCAACATCTGGGCCTTCCTGTGATGTATCAAGAGGGAGCAGTCCTTGACGGAAATGGAACTCGCTCAAGCTGAGGGCGGCACTACGTCTTCAAGGGTGTCGAAAAAGCACGCTGACTGCAACAAGCGCCTTCAGATTGCCGTCAGCCGCTACGACAGTCGCAGCCATTTGGAAACGTTGAGGGCAGCAGCCCGAAATATTGCGTTTTAAAACGCTAACTACTCGACTAATAAACCTTTTGTTTTCAAGTGTAATCATGACGCACTTGGTATTCACTTATTAATTAGGTAATGACTATCACTGCACCCAGCTGCGGCAGCACCTGTTATGCGTCAGCAATGTAAGCACCAGCCCGGTGTAAATTAATATGAGAGTAGACTGTTTCGCGACTCACTGTGTATCAAAGGTCTTGCATTATATAGTCAGAATTTCAACAAATAAATAAACTTTGAACTTTCATTTCAGTGCCTTTTTTTAAATTTCATATGACGAATTCTCCTGTGACGAGTTTTCCTATGACGAATTGTCCTATGTGACCAATTGCCCTATTACCAGTTGGCCTATGACGAATCGGCATGTGACGAACGGGCCTACACCCCACTATGGCGAGGGTACCAGAAAGGTAAAGACGGCTGACTGTCGATCTGTGCCTAAAAGAGGCAGCCACGAATCCGCGTTCAACGAACATTGGCAAGCGCTGTGGTGTCGTCTCCTCTGCACCTAGCAGACAACAAAGCGAGGGTGTGCTCGCGCGCGAGAAGAGCGAGACCGCCTCAGAGCACATGTGCGGAGTTTCGGACTGCACCTACTATGCAGCGCTGGGGATATGGGACGGCTAGAGTAACTGTATATGCTCCGCTTGAGGAGCAGAGTATCGCAATAGAGCTCCCAGGGCGGCTATGTTGTATCCAAAGCCGCCATGCGGGAAGCAACCATCGCTTCTCAAGGGGTCCCGGAGGCGCAAATGGCGTGGCTGTGAGACGGCGTGTTGCGGTGTGCGGAGCGGAGAAGATAGTCACTCTTTTTTGTTTGGCAACAAACTCAGTGGCGCCTTCTATCCGGTAGCCCTGGCGCACTTCTGGTACGTGTATATTTCCTAAATTTTTACACATCATTATTTCGACAGAAGAGTGAATTATGTGTAAGAGTGGCATAAGCAACCGTTTTCCAAAAATAGCCCGTAGATTTAATTTCAGAAATACTGCGAAACCCGCAATGTAGTTGGGAACCGGAAATGTTTAGGGCTATTCAGAGCCGTATATTTCGAGAGTTCGGCCAATGGGTGGAGCAAAGACCCCCGCCAACGTCCAATTCCCCCTGCGGTTAGAACGTAAACTAAAAGTGTGACACAGTGTCGACCAATCAGCAGACTTCGACATCAGAGTATTGGAAACGACATTTAAAGTGTGAAATAGATGCGTTCAATCTCGCAGCTGCAGTAATCTCAACTACGCAATTTTCTCTGGTTTGGAGTGCACGTTCGTTTATTCTACCGTTGACTATGGACGTGACGAAAACCTCGAATGTACCAAGTTTTTAGTCACCAAGACTTACATCTTTTTACTCTAGCGACGCTAAAACGGCTTAGTGTACAGTAGTCGCATTTTTATAGGTTACAACCACCAGTGGGCGTGTTTCGCGGCCAGCGGTTGACCACGAGGTGCTCGCCTATTCATACCAATGAATTGCCAAACTCTCCCAATACACGGCTCTGGGGTTATTTGCACACTAGCACCACCGCGTTGAAACAAACGCGAGAAAGAAAAAATAGTGCGGCGAGACGCCGCGTGCGCTGTCGTCCCGTCATTTGTCTGCTGTTTCTCTCTATGCCCTCGGTAGAACGTAGTAGCCAAAAAGACTTCGTCCCTTCGCGAGCCGTACCTGTGCGTTCTTGTCTGGTCCGAAACGACCGGATGTTCCGGTCGCGTATCACTTTGTGAGCGTCGCAGACTCGAGCAGCGTGACTGTTTTCCGTGTCGTCTGCTTCCTAGTCTTTCAAACCCTGTTTGCAAACATCGCTCGCCTTATAAAACAATGCGATTATACTATACGCAGTGGCTACACATCGGGTTAAATGGTTAGCGAAGCTTCCAGTTCTTTGGATGTTAGTGAAGGATCTATATGTCGATCGCAAACGCCAAGCGAGGATCATGCTCTGCTTGAAACTTTCCGCCTGCAAAGTCGCGTTTCCTCAAAAAGATTGGGTCCAGCTCAGCGCACATGACCGTTTCTTTGCCAACACGGAGTTGGCGGCGCAAGAAAAAGTAACGCGATACTCTGGCTCTGCAAGCAGAGTCTATACAATACGGCTACTCTAAGAACGGCCGCCGCTGGAGTACTAAAGGTTACAGAGTCCACGATAGTGTACATAACAGGCTTCAACATTTCAGTGCATCCAGGGAGTTCACCTTAAGTGGGAAACTCAACTTAGAGTTTAGTGTTGAGCCCCCGGCGTTGCACGTGATGCCTTCTTGGGCTAACATTCTCATTTGGGCCTCAAAGGCTTGGAGGAGAAAAGTCATGTTCGGGTGCTTTGCACCATACCATAACAGCGGCAGGGCGACAGAGCGCCACCGCAGAGACGGTGCAAGTTCATTCACAGTGAGCTGAACGGGCCAGATGGCTTAGTTTGCAGACTTGAATATGGGTCTTCCGTTGGCGTTCATGGACACGGTCAAGTCATGAGGCCCACATCCAAGCTTTGCACGTTGGCTTCGATAAGAGCCACCATCGGTTATATCCAACTGGCAGTGAGTCTCGGTGTGTTGAGATTCGCTAGGGCTTCTGCTAGCTTCTCCCGCAGTTTCATCCATCAGCACCGCTGCTAATTGTTTCTCCAATGGC